ACTATTTGAAGTGACACATAATTAATCTTCAAAAACTCCTCCTGTTCCTTCCACCACCAAAACCACAGCGTTCCCACTGATTATGACTTAAACATTGATTAATGCTGAAGATGAAATTATTACTGAAGAGGTTTCCTCTTCCTGCCCTCCAACGTACCTAAATGGTTATTTCATGCAGGACATGCTACTCAAGCTGTTTCAAGCACAATGGTTGTGCATCTGCAAGCCATTTTGCAACCCGCCTCTACCACAGCTCATCCTTTCATGCTGTTTCTGACTTAATGTTACATCTTGTTGTCACTAATGTTTGAGCTTTTCTGTGCTGGGGATCTCCTGTGATCCAGTGGATATAGACGGGTCACAACGCACAGGCGCAGATGGGAATAACCATGTTCTTTCAGCTCTCGTGGTCCTGACTCCAGTATTGTCACTGTCACTCATTCAAGTATTCTTTTTCCTCTGTCGAGGAAACTCTTCTGCTTCCAGTTTTGCCACCTGTGTTTGTCAGCATGTGTTTAGAAAGCATGTGTTTCATACTTTAGCACCACTGAGTCATCCTTCTGCATCTGGCAGACGCTCTGCCTGTTCAGAGCAGACAGATGTGCATCAGCGCTGCCTTACAGCTGAGACGAGGACTCTGGGTTCATATCCCTGCTTTGCCCTGTTGAGATGAGGAATCCTAACAGATATGCTAAAACATCTTCCTTTTATACAGCGAGTCCCCAGATGTCTTCAACCCTGTGATCCATGGCAAAGCAAAGTGGAAAAAATGCTTCTGAACGCTGCCTTTTGTCTGTGCTAGCATTTCTTGAGAGTGAAGTCAGGCTTGCGCCATTTGTGGGAAGGTACAGCTCGGGTAAGTCGAGTTAGTGCTGCAGGAGGAAATTTAATAACCTGCCATTAATCAGAGTTTTGGTAAAGAGAGAAAGAGACAGCCACAAACTCTAAATATGCTACAGTAGTAGTTGAAGTGGATGTTACTGGTAAACCAAGTGGTTTAATGTGATTAGACTAACACAGTTTACTGATTGGTTCCACTTCATAAGAAAAGATTTGAAGAAAAGCCTCCGGCTGTAGAGACGCAGCTGTTCCCTGATGAGTCTGTTCATATGAATTGAA